CACACACACACACACACACACACACACACACACTTTCTGCAGTGTGTCATCCTCTAAAGCTCAAGAGAAACAGGGAATCGTTTCATGTTAGTGGGCGAGGAGAAGAGAAAGAAATACGGAGGGTACAGACAGACGTTCAAGGGAAAGGAGAGGGGAGGACATGCATTTTAAAACCAAGTTAAAATGCCATCTGCTTCAGGGACACGAGGAAGCTTGCGCGCTCGCTGAGACACTTACCAATCGCTTCTGGAAATGATAACGCACAGAAAAAGAAGCAGAAAGGAAGAACAAAACAGCACATTTTAGGGTCGGGTTCACAGCAGTCGCGCACCCTGAAATCAAGAGAGTTTAGTGCGGAAGACCCCTTTGCAGGACGACACGTTACACACAGACTTTAAGCCGTTTTATGAGCACGTTTAATGATATTAGAGACTAGATCATGAGGGAATCTCACAAAACCGGTCGAGAACATTTCCAGGTTTCTACATTTGCCAACATCTAATTGAAATATAAACACAATTCGAATAAGGAGGGAGTTAAGCACCAAATTCTCATTATCAAAATGATTTAATCATTTTAATTATTCTCAATTATAATAGTTTCATTTACTGTACATAATAAAAAAAAATCAATTTAAATAGCACAAATTAATTATTTAATTGAAATAAGCACAAGTTTAAGTTCAATACAAGTACAATAAATCTAAACTTATCTTGAAATAATATTTTAATAATATTATTAATATATAATTTAATTAGTGCTGTCAAACGGGTAATCGCGATTAATTGCATCCAAAATAAAAGATTTGTTTACATAGTATATGTGTATGTACTGTGTATATTTATTTTGTATATATAAATACACACACAAACAGTATATATTTTGTAAATATTTACATGCATTTACATATATATTTATATTCATATAATTTATATATTATATATATAAATATATTTCATATATACACATAACATATCTTTCTTAAATATTTACATGCATGTGTATTTATATATTTTAGACTGTTTTACTGGGTCTTTCAATAAAGTTTCATTAGCCTAAACCAGGCATTAATCATACGCTTGCCACAAAATCTGGACTAAGCTCCTCTAACACAGTTCATTAAAAGTCATTATCTTTCCATTTCAGCTTCCCTAGCAACTTATAGCGCTAACTCTGTGGGTGGTTGTTTTGGAAGAGAGCAGGGTACCTACAATCACTGATACAGAAGCAGAAGAACATTAGCAGTAGGGCTTAAAGTGCATCCCTTCGTCTTACCTGATCTGAGCTGTTTTATTCGTCCGTTACTTGTGCTGGGGTCGATGGGAAGGAAGTCTTTGAACCAGGTGATTTCCGGGTCGGGGTTACCGCTCGCGGCGCAAAGCATGGTAGCCGTGCGCGTGCGCTCCACCACCTTCAGCTGTGGGCCCATGTCGATGTTGGGGAAGCCAGCAGGAAGTAGGTCCTCTGTAGGAGACAACATAGCAAAGTTTAGAGACAAGCAGTGGACCATTAGGTACCAGTTATGTACTCAAAAGTTCCTACTAAGCAAGTTTCTGGAAGAACCAACTTGGCCTAGAATAAGCTAGTAGGCCCTCTGTGGAGGAGAACTTAACTTAAGCGTAGTTCTAGGAACTCAGTTCTAAGAACTAGCCAGCAGGGTCATTCCTAGAGAGCCAATGTCTTCCTCGGGCAATTTTCCTGGTTGCATTCGCACCAGCAGTAGGAACTCTGAAGCGGCTGACAGCGATGTCTTTATTCACAGCTTTTACAAACGTCAAAAACCCGTGAATGGAGGACGCCATGTTTGGAGCTGTTTTTGTTGTGTGCCATGGGTTTCATGACAATGGAGATGTTATGTAAATGCACAGTTTACACAATTGAAAGAGCACGAAAATCTGACGAAATCTCCTATGACAATTTGCAATGTTATCATCGAGGCTGAGAAAAGAACACAACGCTGCAGACATGCTGCTATTATCGCTGTTTTTCATGTTCGTGTAGTAAATATTTTTACACGGCTTTTTAAAAATGCCGGGTAGCCGATGTTTTTTATGCGTTTGGCCAATCAGCATACACTTACGTCACTGGTAGTTCCTATAGAATTGTTTTAGACCCTACTCTGAAGTAGAAGCTAATTTAGTTCCCCTAAACGAAGTTCCTAGAACTAAATATGTTCCTAGTTCCTGTGGTACGAACAGGCCAAAAATAACTATGGAAAGGTTCCTCCGGTGCGAAAGCACCTTTAGAGAAGTTTAAAGACGAGCAGTGAACATTCAGATGATGATAACCTACTTGAAAGTTTCTACTAAGCTAAGTTTCTGGAAGAACCAACTTGGCCCAGAATGAAATTGTTGGGGTGAACATATAGAACAGGCGTTTCCAAACCTGTCCTGTCCTGGAGGGTCAGTGTCCTGCAGAGTTTAGCTCCAACTAACTTGGCCTGGAATGAACAAGTAGCCAAGTCAAGTTTGTCTAGGACCTGTTTCCCTTCAGGGACCCTCAAGGGGACTTGCTGAGGGATAATCAAACATTATCATAGCAAAGCGCACACTGAGCTGTTGCTCACACCGTCATACATATCATTCGAGTCCTACAGATCCGAGTCTACATCACTAGCGACAGAGCCGTTTAATCGGGCAAGCACTGGTGACATTTCACCCCCGGTTCCTCCATAGTTGTTTACGGCCAATTCGAAGAGACAGCTGACACACAAACACACAATAGATTTTGACAATTCAGCCCTCTTGCTCTTCAACAGAATGCAGTGTGGCTGATGCCTGCTGTTGTAGGCCAACACAAGCCTTCACGCTCTTCAATGGATCTGTTGTAAAGACAAGGATGGATAAGGTGGAGGGAAAACCTCTCACTTCTTTGACCTGATGTGACTCACATGCTGGCAGAGAAAAGCAGACACTGTAGACTATGCCAATGGGCACAGGTCAGGCTCTAAGTGTGAAGGTCACATCCTTCGAACCCTCTGAGAGACACAAAGGTGTGCCAAGGCTCATGACATTACAAGAAACGCAAGTAGTGCATCTAGTACCGGAAACTCTTGTTTTTACACAGGCCTTGACGCCAAAAGAAAGGATTTGAGCCAATGTTTTGTGCAGTGACCTTTCATTTCCATGTTCAATTATTCAGTGTTGGCTGGGGAAGCATTATGGCTGCCTATCGATTATTAACCAGCAGAGATGAGATGTTTAAAAGTTCCAGCTTGGGGGAAAGGATAGCACACATGTACTTGTCCTTCCAAAATCAGCGTTTTGGAGAGCAACATTCTGTGTTTACTGTAACTGTGATCCATGGCCGGATTATCCACGCCATGACACCAGAATAGGATTTCTGCAAAGCACACAAATTAAGCCTTTAACACAAGTTGAGTAGTATGATTTGAGATTAATTAAAGGCGGCAAGTGCTGGGGAGTTTGGACTGGTGGTGGGCGAGTGAGAGCAGCGAACAGTGTCACTGATAGAGATGTCAGAGCAATGCAAATTCTATTATAGTGTCGGTGAAAGAGGTCAAGACAGGAGCTGAAAATAAAACCAGTGTAACGGTGCTAGCACTGCTTATATATGGCGGTAACAACTGCGGGCATACGAATGCAAATGAAAAGTGTCTATACTGTCACCGGGATGCAACAACTGACCTGGAATCATCCACTAGGAGAGGCTCACCGCAAGCACTCCAAAGTAAAGATGTCCTCTTCGAGTAATAGTAATGGAGAAGGGCTAGAAATAGAATTTGCCTTGCAGATGTACTCTTCCAACACACAAATTGGTTCAGGGTCAGTTGCTCTGGTAAAATACGAAGGAAATCAGGCATATCTGCGCCAAGAGCCCTTAGCCCTGTCCTGCCTGGCTTGTATTCATGGTGAAAAAGCCCTGGAGTTATAATTCCAGCATTCCCCACCAATGTGATCACATGATTAGATGGCTATTCTCTCCACAACAGCTTTTTGATATTGTCACAACCAGTCAATTTACAATTAGGCTTGAGGTCTGAGGTTCTCGCTATACCTCTCTAGCACTAGCCTTTCATGCTGTACCCCAAACAACAATTGAAAGGCTTTCAAATAGATGCCCATTAGACAAAAACGCAGCTTTCCCCCCATGCATTTCAAGTGCTGGATAGTAGCTGAGGTCTTTTTTGTTCTGCACTTTGCAGAGGGCTAATTCTACCCCATAATTCCTTAAAATAAGAACTGGAATGCAATTACAGGCCTCATGCTGGGTTTATATCAGGGCGGCTCTGAAGGCTGCCCCTGGCCTGACTAAGAGGCTGTTAAGCCGCAATGATAATGATGCTGTTATGATGATCAGCGTAGCGGACTGAGTGCGCCGGACACGTTAGCCAACATCTGCGCTTTCACAGATTCAACAGGGCACTGAAGTCGTCCCAAAACCCCGCAAACCTTCAATCCGTTAGCTTTGACATGGGTTTTTATGCCCGCTGTTATTATCTGTAATTGTGTTTAATTGTAGCTTGTGATTTAATGGCATTATGCAAGTGACAGGTGCAAAGCCTCTTAACCTGAGCGGTCAGTTGGATTTGCAGATAACAGGGCACTGAAGTCGTCCCAAAACCCCGCAAACCTTCAATCCGTTAGCTTTGACATGGGCTTTTATGCCCGCTGTTATTATCTGTAATTGTGTTTAATTGTAGCTTGTGATTTAATGGCATTATGCCTCTTAACTTTCAAGTGACAGGTGCAAAGCCTCTTAACCTGAGCGGTCAGTTGGATTTGCAGACGTGCATCCATGGTAATAAGCAAATGAGTTTAGATTGATTTATGATGATCTCTGAAGCTCATTATCTGTGCAGATTAAAAGTAAAATGACTATCACGGCCTGTACACCAAAATAAATACACAATATATATACAGCTGCTGGTTTTTCTCTTAGAATACAACCGTTGTGACAAATAAAAGACCAATTACTATGTACTAAGACTGGGTTTGTATGATGCCTAGCATTCGCCACTGGGTGTCCATAAGCAAACGAGTTCTAGCTGATTTATGATGATGTCTGAAGCTCATTACCCGTGCAGGTGTAATATTTCATATCACAGATTAAAAGTAAAATGGCTATTGCTGCTTGTACATCAAAATAAATAGGTAATATACACACAACTGCTGCCTTCTGCCGGGACCGTGGCATTCTTGTTAACAGCTTTATCAACCAGAGACACATTTCATAATTACACAAAGCATTCTTTGATAAGCGTGCCTTTTTAAAAACGGCTCTCCAGCAAACACTTTCCTGCTGATAAAAGTCTCAGGGGCGGCATCAAATTCCGCAGACGTATCCTCCCATGTATTGGCTATTTTATTATTTTCACTTACAGAAATGATTTAATTTCATCAGTTCCTTAATCAGGTTAACTGATTAGCTCTTGCCACAGCCAGAGATGGCTTTAGAAGTAGTGGTTGACCGATATGGGTTTTTTGACAGCCGATGCCAATATCTTGGAAAGCAGGGTGGCCGATATAAAGCAGATATAATTTTATTTATTTTAATTGATATTTAAGAAATTTTAAATCATTTGAAAATGGATTAAAAAATAATTATGCTAAATAAACATACTTATACTTTAGATGACAAAGTATATCACAAATAAATATTTAATAAAAATATAATTAAAAAGGAAGTAAACACTGTAACCAACAGGACACTCAGTATAGAGAATGGGAATGGGTCGTCACAGCGGCAATGCATTCTGGGAATTTAGGTCA